CACTGGTGTTGATTGTGGAACCAAATACTATGAAATCTTTGACAACTTCAATCTTTTCTCCGTTTATCATGAATCTGCTTATTTGCCCAGTTGTGAGGATTTTTGTTTTCTTTATGTTGACGTGTAATCTATACTGCAGACTGTAGTCTTTAATCGTCATCAGTAAGTGCTTCAAGTCATCTTCACTGTCATCAAGCAAGGTCTGCATATCACAGGCTGTTAATGAGCCTTCCTCCAATCCTAATACCATGTTCATCTTCATATAGTCTGGCTTCTAAGATTATTTGCTTAGCATACAGATTGAACAAGTGTGGTGAAAGGATACATCCCTGACACACACCTTTACTGATTTTAAACCATGCAGTATCCCCTTGCTCTGTTCAAACGACACCCTCTTTTTTATGTTTATGTACAGGTTCTTCATGAGCACAGTTAAGTGTTTTGGAATTCCCATTCTTAAAGTTATCCATAGTTTGTTATGATCCACATAATCAAATGCTTTTGTATAGTCAGTAAAACACAAACAAACATCTTTCTGGTATTCTTTGCTTTCAGCCAAGATCCATCTGACATCAGCAATAATATCTCTCATTCCACATCCTCTTCTGAATCCAGCTTGCATTTCTGGAAGTCCCTTGCTGCAACCATTTTTTAATTATCTTCAGCAAAATTTTACTTGTTTGTGATATTAATGACATTATTTGACAATTTCCACATTCTGTTGGATCACCTTTCTTTGGAATAGGCACAAATATGGAACTCTTTCAGTCAGTTGATCAGGTAGCTAGCTGTCTTCCAAATTTCCTAGCCTAGATGAGTAAGTGCCTGCAGTGCAGCATCCATTTGTTGAAACATCTCAATGGGAATTCTGTCGATTCCTGGAGCCTTGTTTCTCGCCAGTTCCTTCAGTGCAGCTTTGACTTCTTCCTTCAGTACCATTGGTTCTTAATCATATGCCACCTCCTGAAATGGATGAACATCAACCAATTCTTTTTGGTACAGTGACTCTGTATATTCCATCCATCTTCTTTTGATGTTTCCTGCATCATTCAATATTTTGCCCATAGAATCTTTTAATATTGCAACTTGATTTTTTCTTCATTTCTTTCAGCTTGAGAAATGCTGGGCATGTTCTTCCCTTTTGGTTTTTTAACTCCAGGTCTTTGCACATTTCATTATCATAAATGACTTTGTTTTCTCAAGCTGCTCTTTGAAATCTTTTGTTCAACTCTTTTATCTTGTCATTTCTTCCATTTGCTTTAGCTACTTTCCATTCAAGAGTGAAATTAGAGAAAAATTAGTCAGTAGAAATAGGTCCAGAAATGATAAGGTTAGTTATTATTAGACACAGATTTTAAATTGCTCATGATAAATATTAAGAATATAAAGGTAAATATGAATGCAATTAGAAAATGATATTTTAAAAAGAACCCAATAAAATGTAATTAGAACTTTCTGCATACATATTCTACTTTGATTTAAAAAAAAAAAAAAAAAAGGAACTTCTACAGTTGAAAGGATAATACCTGAAATGAAAAATTCAGTGGATGTGATTAACAGTAGATCAGAAACTACACTGAGCTTAAAGACATAGCAGGCAAACTATCCAAAATGAAGCACAGAGAGAAAAATGGCTGAAAAATTAACGTAGCCTCAGTAACTGGTGGTACAATGTCAAGCAGTCTGTCAGAAGGAAAAGAGACCAAAATATTGAAGGAAATAATTTTTACCAAAATTTAAAACAGTTTTTTCTAAATTTGATGAAAACTATAAACCCACAAATATAAATATCTCAGTGAATGCTAAGCAAAAAGGCAGTTACACCAAAGCATATCATAATCAAATTGCTACAAACCAATGATAAATGGAAAATATTATAGCCAGAGGAAAAAAAAAAAAATGTTACATATAGGAGAACAAGGAGCTCTGGTGGCATAGTGCCTAAGGCATTTGACTGCTAACCAGAAGTGTAGTGGTTCAAACCCACCAGCCACTCTTTGAAAGGAAGACCGAGCAATCTGCTTCCATAGAGATACCACCTTGGAAACCCAAGGGAGGGGTCCCTGTGAGTCTGAATTGACTTGACAGCAGTGAGTTTGGGTTGTTTTTTGTTTGTTTGTTTATAGGAGAACAGAGATAAAAATTACCAATGACTTCTCATAAAACAAAACAATCCAGAAGAAAATGGAATGACATCTTGAAGTTGCTTAAAAAAACTTATTTTTCTTCTTTCTAAACTATATAAAATTTCCTAGCTTTATGCACTGAAAAGGCCTAGAAGCAGCCACCACTCAGGAACAGCAAGCACCTTAGTGTCTTAAGTAAAAGGAACCAGTGGTCCTCAGAAGAATGGTTGGTTCCAAGTCTGGGGCAAGATATATACAGGATGATCCCGGGATGATCTTACTGTTTCAGAAAGCAAGGAAGTTAACAAGTTCAATTGGTCATGTAAAAAGGATGCAGAAGCCTACTTACAAGAGCTCCCACAGGTTAAAGATAGGGCAATTTAAGCATCAAAAAAATAATGTTTGCAGTGAATTGAAGCATATTCAACCCTACTACCATCAAGTCCAACTCTAAGGACAGAGTAGAACTGCCCCATAGGGTTTCGAGGCCTGTAAGTTTTTATGGAAGCAGATTGCATCATCTTTCTGGTGGGTTCGTACCCCTAACCTTTTGGTTAGCAGCGAATGCTTTAACCACTATACTACCAGAGCTTCTTTGAAGCTTATTAACCAACACCACTGCCGTCCAGTCAGGTCCAACTCGTAGCACCCCCACCTTGGGTTTCTGAGGCAATATCACTACAAAAGTAGATTGCCCAATCTTCCTTCTGAGGAGTGGCTTCTGGTTAGTAGTCAAATGCCCTAGGCACTACGCCACCAGGGCTCCTACATACAAATCTGTGCATTCATAATGCTTCTTTTAAGGGGGAAAAAACACAACTCCTTGGTCACCATTAGAGGTTACTAGGGTACTAAGTCATTGTTCTGAATTTTGTTAAATGATAGGAAATATCAAGCATTTGTTTTACTTCACCTAAATAAACAATGTATTCAAGATAAATGACTAGAGGAAATTAATAAATGCAGAAAAATGATAAGATTGCAAAACCAATATTTTGAAACTGTGAAATGATTTTAGGCAAGTATTATCAGTAAATACTAAAACCATTAGTAGAAAAGTTGATGGAGAACTTTCTGATGGAGGGATGTGGCCAATAGCATCTGAATACACTTAGCAGTATTTGCATTACATCACATATGTGCTCCTACTGTGTTTTTAAGAAGTATACCATTCTACCTATGATGTAGTTTGTCCTTTCTCAAAAAAAAAAAAAAAAAACCTGAGTCTAATCAGACCAGGGTTTCAAACTGATTCATTATGGTACGACCCCCTACTGAGAATTTCTGTACCCACTCCAGATGTACTGAATCAGAATCCAAATTTTAACAAGATCTCCAGGTGATTTTTATGGGGATCTTGTTAAAACATAGATTCTGATTCAGTGTATTTAGGGTGTTGTTGTTGTTATGTGCCATAGAGTCGGATAGCGACCCCTCCTTGGGTTGCCAAGGCAGTATCACTATGGAAGTAGATTGCCCAACCTTCCTTCCAAGGAGTGACTGGTGGGTTTGAACCACCAGCCTTCTGGTTAGCAGTCAAGTGCCTTAGGCACTATGCTACCAGTGCTCCCATATTTAAGGTAGAAATGAAAATTCTGAGCAAGGGTCACACCAGAATGCACTGATTTGAAGTCCTGAATCAGACTTCTAGGTCTAACCAAAGAGGATAGAGAAACAAGTTAAATGATACCACAAGGAAGCAACCAGTGAAATCCAGAACGTAGGATGTTCTATGGGATAAATGATTTGGTTTTTTCACAAATACATTGTCATGAAAGAAAATGGGGAAAATAGGAACTACTATAGATTAAAAATGGAAACATACTGATCAAATAACAAACAAACATTATTAACCAAGTATAATTTGTGGACCTTGTTTGGATCTTGATTTTAACTGTAAGAAAACATTTTTGAGGATTTGAGGAAATTTACAAGTGACTGAAATATTGATGAATTTTTGTCTGTTTTATTAGGCATAATAACATTGAGGTTATAGAATATATATATAGTTATATAGTTATCTGATAAATATACATACTGAAGTATTCCTGGGTGGAATAATTATCTAGTGCTTACTAGACCCTCTCCTGTGCAAAAAGGTGGCCGGGGGGCGGGGCACAGGGGCAAATCAGTTAAACAAGATTTACAAAATACTAAGATCTATTGAAGTTTGATGATGGATATATGAGGGATAGTCATGAGATTACTCTATTTTTGTGCATGTTTTAACATTTCTATAGTAAAAAGTTTTCAAGAAAGAAAAACATCATTCCTTAAAGACCTTCCATGTATCTGTGAGATAGATCCTCACTTAGAATGTAAATAGTATCATCTTACAGTTAGGTGCAGTTCTAACAATTTGATTTGAGTACCAATTTTATGGGAGAAAATGGACTATCCTTAGAGAAGTGAAAAGATTTAACTGGTAACGTGAAATAACCATCAAAACTCTTAGACAAAAACTATAAAAATCATAGTATTCAGGGGTCACATGGAAAGGTCAAATAGACCTACTCTACCTCAGCCTCATTTCCCACTAGGATGGTATTCCCTAAAAGATACATCCATCACAGAGCCCAGAACTTGGACAAGTCTGGTGAGCAAAACTCCTGTGGTGACTCCTTATTGATGTTCTTCTCAAAGGTTGTGGTGTTATTCAAAGTCGTCCACTAAAGAGGACTGTTTTTGTTCAAGGGTTTATGAGATATATTGCCTGTGGTCTAACACCATTAATCCTGGTTCCATTATGCATTGTGTTGTTTTTTATTGTTTTCCTTATCATGTTTTTTTTGTTTGCCCATTTTAATCCATGTTCATTTCTCCCTCTGTATGTGTCTGTACCATGCTTGCTGTCTTTGCTTCCATTGTTCCTAGGTTACAGTATAGCCAGGATATACCCAGTCACTTGGCCGATGAGCATGCGCTGATAGCCTCCTATGTGGCCCGTCTCCAGCACTGTGCACGGTTAGTGGTAGAGCAGCAGCAGTAGGTGGGGAGCTAAGGGTTGATTAAAGGGAGGGAGAACTGTGTTACCTGGGGTTGACAGCTGGAAAAGCTCTGCATGTGGGGTTTTTCTTGAGAAACTACCAGCTGGGTTTGGCAGAGTTTAAATACTTGCAAAAGTGTTAGCTTCTAAAAGGGAAGGAGCCTTGCCAAGCCTGGGCACTTACCTACACATAGGCAGGATTTCTCCTTAAAGTGAGGTCACTTTCTTGAGATTATACTTAAAGCATATATAAACCTCTGAGAAATTTGAAATCCCAAAACTGTATTACCTGGAGTTGACAGCTGGAAAAGCTCTGCATGTGGGGGTTAACACTCACACAGGTGTTTGATGGCAACCTCCTATTAGTCATTCTTGCCTAAATAATGAAATCTTTCTGTTGGTATTCAGAGTTCACTGTTGTTGATCAGCCACAAATATCTCAGTTTGTCTAATCTGAAGGCTTTGAAACCACCCTGTTACATCTCTACTGTCCTTCATCTGTTCCTAGAAATCTATTATTATTGACTATTTAAACCATTTATTCTCAACAGTGGTATTGAGTCAGTATTACTTGAGGGGCTTTTCTAAACTATATATAACACCTCAGGTTAAAATAATTATATATATTGTAATAGCCCCACTTACCTGTTTTTCTGAAAACCACTGAGGTATTGACTCACTGTTCATATGGAAACATGAGTTGATTCCTTAGTAGATTCGGAAGGAAAAATGTTTGATAACCACTAACTATACCAAAGTTCATCCTTTAAGAGAATTAATATAAAACAAAGTACTATTCCATTCAGACCAACCCAAAGCCACTTGTGCACTGCATGCCCACACCTATCACATTCTTCAAGAATGAAAGGTAAAGTTTTAATAATCTAAAGCCATCCATCTTTCTCTACATAGCACCAAAGAAGAGTCATGATGTCAAACAACTTGTAAAACACTGCTTTGAGAACTCTAATTCTTAGAAAGAAAACCATAATTAATAAACTAACACATAATAGAGGAGCCTCAGTTATGTCCATAGTATGCTATGGCTGCTTGGGAACCTTTGAGCTTACTCCTATTCCCCATGGTAATAGAAGACTAAATTAATAATTATGTGAAAAGGACTATTTTTAATATTATACTTCATACTGTTTCTCAGTATGAACAAAGAACATCATTATTTTTTGACGTTTACTTATCTCTAAAATCTTAGAGAAACTGTAGGGTTCTTCCTACCTCTCCCATATATTTAATAGGCTTATCCTATGGGAGGGAAGGAAGGCCCTGCTAATTGTTTGGGGTATCACAGAGAGTGTCTCCTTATCCAAGAGATGACTCTGACCCAGCCTCTGGTCTCTAGGAATAGAGTAGTTTCACCTGTGGCAGAGTAAGATTACTTATAATTGGTGAGGGCAGTTGTCCAGGGCGATTAAAGTCTTCCATGGTAAAAATAGCACAGTGTTGGCCAGAAACCTGCTACCTGATATTTGCAGGCCACAGAGGTTTTTGGGAGGTTTAGCCAAGGTCTTCAAGCCTCATGGAAACTGGGAAATCTTAGGGGCTAGCCTCCCTGAGCAAGAATTGGTGGCTAGTAACGCTTGGAGAACACAACATTGGGTGAGTACTGTATCTCTTCTTTATTTATGGAGTCTGAGGAACTGAGCTTCATACTTGCTGTAAGAATCAGAATTTCCTGGCTAATTAATTCTGAAAATAAAAACACAAGCAGAAGAATGAGGAACTTACCTAGTTTCCCTTAAATAATTTTCACTGACTTAATTTAAAAGGAGCTCTGGTGGTGCTATAGTTAAAGCATTGGGCTGCTAACCAAAAGGCTGGCAGTTCAAACCCACCAGATGCTCTGCAAGAGAAAGATGAGGCAGTCTGGCTTCTGGAAAGATTTGCAGCCTTGGAAACCCTATGGCGGCAGTTCTACTCTGTCCTATGTGGTCATTATGAGTTAGAATTGACTTGATAGTAGTGGGTTTGGGTTTGGTTTTAAAACCTCTCATCAGTTTAGAGTTCTAGTTTCTGTCTAGAAAGTTTAACCAATCAAAAGAGCTTAAATAGATTAACCCTCCCAGGGAGATGGACTGTAACAGAGTAAGAGGAGCTTTTTTGTATCCCTGGTCGAATAATAAAGGTCATCACTTTTGGGCACACTTCTTAGGCTGCCAATCTCTCCTCCACAGTATTATCCAATTAGATTGTTAAATGTTAGTCTTTATTTGTTCTGTTTCTGCACAGAGCTACATGTTGTTGTTGTTAAAAGAGAAGAATAATTTTCCTTATTTCAGATAAACACACTTAAGGTATAAATATTGGATAGTTCAGCCTTGACCTTGGGGACTTGACTCTAAAATATTAAAGTCAACTGGTGGAAGCATGTTCTAATTACCAAGGTCACCTACTAAGAGGACAATTAGGTGGCATCTTCACACCTAAAATTAAAAAGTGTTAACAAATGTCATAGGCAGGAGACCTAAAGTACGTTTTAAAAATTTTTTTTTTTTTTTAATCCAGCCTGGTGGGAAAGACCAAGTAAGCTTAAAGAATTAGCCACAGAGATAGAAACACTGAGAAAGGTAAAACAAAATGTAGGGGAAATATAGACAATTCTGTACATGAAAAGATCAGACAGCTCTTTATGGATTTAACCTCACCCTTCTCAGATTCTCCCACATTAATTATAGCAAAATTTGGTGAATAATAAATTAAAGTCTTTAAATTTTTATGTATCACTTTGTTATACTGCTAAATTACAACCAAGAGTTTTTGATTGCTGGTACTCTTGTTAAAAAGGAATAAAGTAAACTAATCCATCTAAGATGGGGGTATGGTTGTAGAAGAGAGAAAGGCAGTAAAGAAGAATTTTGGTAACATGGAATCTTCTCCAATTTTACATTACGTTAAGCCTACCCTGGCGAGGGTTCTTCACTTTTGTTCAGCCCATGTTAAGTGTATTTTTCTCTCAGTCATCAGTTTTTTCATGGTGCTTTAGTTTTCTCCTGGTCTTTCTAGTTCAGACCTCAGTCCAAAAGTCATGAGTTTTTCAAAACATTTGGTTAGAAATTCCTGCCTCCGACTTTCTGAGCATCGTGCCTTTTCTCAGTTCTTGCATTCAAAAAGAAATGCCCACCTGCTGGTGTGGAGCAGCAAAGATCTGTGCTGCTCAAGAGGAATTAAGTGTATGGTTTTTCTTCTCTCTGACTCCCCTTTTGGCTCAGAAGACCACTAGTATCTACAACCAAACTTGCATTTCTTTTGTTGCCATCCTTTCTTAAAAGCCTTTCCCCCCATCTATTTTCTCCGAGAATGGTACAAGAATAGAGATGTTTAATAGATATTTGTTGGATTTTTATCTCCTTGGCAGTGTCCTGGACAGTCCAAGCCGACTGGATGAGGAACACCGGCTTATTGCTCGCTATGCTGCCCGGCTAGCTGCAGAAGCAGGAAATGTGGTGAGTAGAGGATCCCAGTAGAGTAGCATAACTTAGCTTTACTTTAATATTCAAATGGTAGGACAAAGACAAACATGAAACTCAGGAGAGTGGATACTTCTAGAAGGGAAGAAGAATAGTAGGTTTAGAGAGGGAATCTCAGAGGCCTTTAATTTTATCTAGGAGCTCTGGTGGCACAATGGTTAAAGCATCTGGCTGCTTACCAGAAGATCAGCAGTTCAAACCTACTAGCTGCTTCATAGGAGAAAGATGAGGCAGTCTGCTTTCATAAAGATTTACAGCCTTGGAAACCCTATGAGACAATTCTACTCTGTCCTATTGGATCACTAGGAGTTGGAATCGAGTCAGTGGCAGTGAGTTTGTTTTTTTGGTGTGGATAATTTTATTTCTAATGATTTGTTTCTTTAAAAAAATGGATCAAGAAGAGAAAATCAACAAAGCCAGAACTTGGTCGTTTGAAAAAAAATCAATAAAATTGAGAGACCCTAATAAAACTGGTCAAATAAAGAGAACAAAAACACGAATGCCAATATCAGGAATGAAAGAGGGGACACTCTACAGCTTCTACAGACATTTTGAGGATGATAAGAGAATATTATGAACAACTTTATGCCTGTAAATATGACAACGTAGATGACATAGACAAATTCCTTGAAGGGCACAAATTACCAAAACTGACACAATAATAAATGTTGTTGTCAGGGGAAATCGAGTCAGCTCCAACTCAAAGTGACCCTGTGTACAACAGAATAAAACAGAATAGATAATCTAAAAGTTCAATATTTGTTTTAAAAATTGAATTCATATACAACTTCCTACAAAGAAAACTCTAAATCCCGATGGCTTAACTGCTGAATACAGTCAAATACTTAAAGAAGAAATTATATAGATCCTATAAAAACTCTTTGAGAAAATGGAGGAGGAAGGAACATTTCCCAACTCATAAGACCACTGTAATCTGACACAAGAACCAATCAAGGTGTCATAAGAAAAAAAAATTACTAACCAATATTTTGCATAAACATAGATTTAAGAAATTTTTAACAAAATAGTTGCAAATTAAATCCAGTAACATGTGAAAAAGGAAAATACTTCATAATGAAGTGAGGTTTATCCTAGTAATTCAAAGGTGTTTAATATATAAAAACCAAACAATGCAATTCACCATATTAACAGATTAAAAGAGAAATGTATAGCATCAGTTCAACAGATGAAGAAAAAGCATTTGAGAAAATTCAACACCCATTTACTATAAAAATTCTCAACAATACTAAGAGAACATCAGCCTGATTTAAAAAACAAAACAAAACAAACAAACAAAAACCTAGAGCTAATATCACTTAAAGGTAAAACAGTGAAACATTTTATAACAGACAAAGACATCTGAATTCACCATCTTTATTCAAAATTGTACTGGTGGTCCTAGCCAGCGTAACATGACAAAGAAAAAGGATATAAACACTGGAACGGAAGAATTAAAACTGTCTTTACTTACAGATGACATGATTATGTATAAGAAGTACTAAAAACAAAGCCAAACCCATCGCCTTTGAGTTTATTCCAACTCATAGTGACTCTATAAGACAGATTAGAAATGCCCCATAGGATTTCCAAGGCTGTAAATATTTATAGAAGCAGACTGCCACATCTTTCTTCCATGGAACAGCTGGTGAGCATCCAGACTAAGACAGACTCAGAACAAGGAAGGAGCCATCCACTTCTCAAAGAATTGGCCAGTGAAAACGTTATGAACAGCATTGAAACACTGTCTGAGATATTACTGGAAAACTTTGTGAATAGCCCTGAAACATTGATGTAGTGCCAGAAGATGAGCCTCTCAGGCTAGAAGGCACTCAAAATACAACTGAGAAAGAGGTGCCACCTCAGAGTAGATCCATCCACAACCATAATGATGTGGATGGAGTAAAGCTTTCGGGACCCTTGTTTGCTGGTTTGACACAACTCGAAATGAGAAGGAGCAGCTGGAAACATCCATTAATAGTTGGAACATGGAATGTATGAAATATAAATCTAGGAATATTGGAAGTTGTCAAAAAATGAAATGAAACACATTAAGATTAATGTCCTAGGTATTAATGATTTAAAATGTACTGGTTTTGGTCACTTTGAATCAGATCATTTTGAGTATGATCTATTGTGCCTGGAATAGGGAGCTCTGGTAGCGTAGTGCCTAAGGCACTTGACTGCTAACCAGAAGGCTGGTGGTTCAAACCCACCAGCCACTCTTAGGAAGGAAGGTTGGGCAATCTACCTCCGTAGTGATACCGCCTTAGAAACCCAGAGAATGGTCGCTATGAGTCGGGTCCGACTCCATGGCACATAACAGCATGCCAGGAATGACAAATTAAAGAGGAATGGCATGGTATTCATTGTCACAAAGAATGTTTCAAGATCTATCCTGAAGTACAGTGTTGTCAGTGGTAAGATAATATCCATACACCTACAAGGAAGTCCAGTTAATACTACTGTTATTCAAATTTACACACCAACCACCAAAGACAAAGAAATTGAAGATTTTTACCAATTTCTGCAGTCTGAAATTGACCAAACATGCAATCAAGATGTTTTGCTCATCACTGGAGACTGGAATGCAAAAGTTAGAAACAAGAATCACCAGTAGGTGGAAAATACAGCCTTGGTGATAGAAATAACACTGGAGATCACCTGATAGAATTTTGCAAGACCTATGACTTAACTCATTACAAATACCATCTTTCAACAACATAAATGCTCTGGTAGCATAGTGCCTAAGGCACTTGACTGCTAACCAGAAGGTTGGTGGTTCAAACCCACCAGCCACTCCTCGGAAGGAAGGTTGGGCAATCTACTTCCATAGTGATACTGCCTCGGCAACCCAAGGAGGGGTCGCTATGAGTCGGGTTCATCTCAACGGCACATAACAACAACAACAACATACACATGGACTTCACCAGATGGAGCACACAGGAATCAGATTGACTACATTTGTGGAAAGAGGTGATGGAAAAGCTCAATATCTTCAGCCAAAACAAGGCCAGGAGCTGACTGTGGAACCAACCATCAACTTCCCATATGCAAGTTCAAGTTGAAGCTGAAGACAATTAAAACAAGTCCATGAGAGCCAAAATATGACCTTGATTATATCTCTCCTGAATTTAGAGGCCATCTAAAGAATAGATTTGATGCATTGAAAACCAGTGACCAAAAACCAAAAGAAATATGGGATGACATCAAGAAGAAAGTAAAAGGTCATTAAAAAGACAGGAAAGGAAGAAAAGACCAAAATGGATGTCACAAAACATTCTGAAATATGCTCTTGAACTGAGAGTAGCTAAAGCAATTGGAAGGAATGACAAGATAAAAGAGCTGAACAGAAGACTTCAAGGAGCAGCTCAAGAAGACAGAGCCAGTTATTATAATGAAATGTTCAAAGACTGGAGTTAGAAAACCAAAAGGGAAGAATGTGTTTGGCATTTCTCAAGCTGAAAGAGCTGAAGGAAAAATGCAAGCCTCGAGTTAAAATATTGAAAGATTCTATGGGTAGAATATTGAATGATTCAAGAAGCATCAAAAGAAGATGGAAGGAATACACAGAGTCACTATACCAGAAAGAATTGGTCAATGTTCATGTATTTCAGGAGGTGGCATATGATCAAGAACCAGTGGTATTGAAGGAAGAAGTCAAAGCTTCAGTGAAGGAATTGGTGAAAAACAAGCCTCCGGGAATTAATGGAATACTCATTGAGATAGTTCAACAAATGGATGCCATGCTGCAAGCAATCACTTGCCTATGCCAAGAAACTTGGAAGACAGCTACCTGACCAACTGACTGGAAGAGATCCATATTTGTACCCATTCCAAAGAAAGGTGATTCTACAGAATGTGAAAATTACCGAACAATATCATTAATATCACATGCAAGTAAAATCTTGCTGAAGATAATTCAAAGATGATTGCAGCAGTATATTGATAGAGAACTTCCAGAAATGCAAGCTGGATTCAGAAGAGGATATGAAATGAAGGATATCATTGCTGATGTCAGATGGATCTTGGCTGAAAGCAAAGAATATCAGAAAGATGTTTAGTTGTGTTTTATCAACTATGCAAAAGCACTTGATTATGCGGATCATAACAAATTATGGGTAACATTGAGAAGAATGGGAATTTCAGAATGCTTAATTGTACTCATGAGGAACCTGTACATAGACCAGGAGGTTGTCATTCTAACAGAACAAGGGGATACTGCATGGTTTAAAATCAGGAAGGTTGGAGGTCAGGAAGATGGCATCTTACCTGTAGCCCACATGTTAGTTCCCTCTAGCATCTTAATGCCTAAAAAACTAGGTGCAGCAGTTTGGAGCAGGGATTCTGGCTTTCTGAATAGCTCATTAAGTCAGAGAAGGCTAACCTTAGGAGAGTATGAGAAGAGAACAGAAATAAACGAGCCTGCTCTGAAGAGCACTGACCAGCCAGCGAGAAGAAGCATCAGAGGGCTCCCTAGGGGAGTAGAGAGAACGCACCAGAGGACCTGCGGCCAATCCAGCACCCACTTTTATCAGTAAATTTGGGACCATGCTGAGTGGGAGAGCAGCATTTCTAAGAAGTGAAGCAGAGACCCCTCTGGCTTGGGCCTCCACTGAATTGGGAGCAGAGAGGGAAGCATGCCACAGGTGGGCAGGCCTGTAATAACTCATGGCATGGGTCAGGGCAGCTATTCCAGGACAGCTTTTTGGCATGGAGAGGCTTGGAGTATGGGGTTTTTGTGGCTGTCTGAACTGGCGGAAAGTGGTGGCCCCCTAACCATTGCCAAACTTGAACTGTGGGCCAGTAAGCCTACTCAAAGCCCTGGAAACAGCTACTAGAGCCTTAGAGCTTTTATTCTCTTTTCTTCCTCCTTTCCCCACCACTCCCCTGCCTCATCCAATAGAAAAACTACATTAAGCCACTACAACACCTGCTGGCTTGAATCCTAAACCCCTTTCATGACAAACAGAGACCTG